TTCCTCCCTGCTTCCTCCTCTACTTCCTCTTTTGTTTCTTCCTTCTGCTTCCTCCCTGCTTCCTCCTCTACTTCCTCTTTTGTTTCTTCCTTCTGTTTCCCCCCTGCTTCCTCCTCTACTTCCTCTTCTGCTTCTTCCTCCACTTTGTCCTCTGCTTCCTGCTTCGCTTCCTGTTCAGAGAGTTGACTCTGCCTCAGTAAGTCGCCACCTGGACTGAGTCACTTCAGCTTGAGACTGTCTGTCTGCCTGTCTGTGTCTGTCTGTACCTTTCTGTACTGACACAGTGCTGTTATAGACAGAAGACCAGAGCTCACATCCTCTAACTCACCTGTCTGTCTGTCCACCTGTCTGTCCTCAGACGTCTCAGGCCACCTGTCTGTCTCTTACAGACGAATTGATTTTCTGTGGTTGCTCTGATGGAACTGTCCGAGCTTTCAGCCCTGTCAACCTGCACTTCATCTGCACGCTGCCCCGCCCACACCCCCTGGGAGCTGACATCACCAGTATGGTTGACGCCAGGTACCACACACACACACACACACACACACACACACTCACACACACACACACACACACAGGATCCATGTGGACCAGTGTCAGTTTGGTTTTTATTCTGACTCATCAACCCCCCCTCCCCTTCCTCCCTCTCTCCCTCCCTCCTCCTCCTCAGTCAGTTGTTCTGCTGCAGGTCGGAGGCTCGATACCCGGACACGGTGGCGGTGACCTATGACCCCACCAACCGCTGGTTGTCCTGTGTCTACAACGACCACAGTGTTTATGTTTGGGATGTCCGAGACCTCAGGGACCCTCGCAGGGCGGGAAAACTGTACTCCGCCCTCTACCACTCCTCCTGTGTGTGGAGTGTGGAGGTCAGTGTGTGTGTGTGTGTGTGTGTGTGTGTGTGTGTAAGAAGTGTGACAAAAACATTAAATTAAATATGCAGTTAATCGTTAATGTTAATTTGTATGTAATAATATATATAATCTTCTACACATGTTTCTTAAAAACATTCTAATAAAATTCTTTATCGACATCATTGATAACGGATGAATTCACCCGAGTTCTAGATTGAAAAAATAAATGAGCGCCCCCTGCTTTCTCCTGCAGGTGTCTCCAGAGGGACGAGGGGAAGGAGAGGGGTGTCTCCCCCCCAGCTCCTTCCTGTCCTGCTCCTCTGACAACACCATCCGACTGTGGAACCTTGATGGACACAACACCCCCAACAGGAACATCCTGAGCCACGTGAGACAACACACCTGTACACTAATGTCTACACCTCAACTGTTTATACATGTATCTCCGACACCCTCCTCACGCCAGCTGACTCTGACCTTTGACCTTTGACCTCAGGACCTGCAGAAGGTCATTTACGTGGATGATAATCTAACAAGCCTCCTGGACACGGAGAGTATCGGTGCTGCTGGTGGCAACACAGAGAAGGCGGGGTCATTGTGCTCAGAGGGGCAGCAGGCGGACCAGAGCAGGGCGGGCATTAGGTCCCTGGGCGTCAGTCCTGATGGACAGCACCTGGCCTCTGGGGACCGCATGGGGGTCCTAAGGTGAGGAGGGGCCTGTGTAGGGTGGTGTGTATGATGCTTGTATGATGATTGTATGTAAAACATTTGTATGATATTTGTGTGTGTTGTAGGATCCATGATCTGGACAGTATGGAGGAGATCATGAACGTTCAGGCTCATGACTCAGAGATTCTGTGCCTGGAGTTTTCCAAACCAGAAAC